CCACTCCTCCCCCATCCTCCTCCTCCTCCCCCTCCTCCTCCTCCTCCTCCTCCTCCTCCTCCTCCTTCCCCCCCTCCTCCTCCTCCCACCCCTCTTCCGTGTCCTCCTCCGGCGCCTTTTCCGTCTCCTCCTCGTCCTCCTCCACGTCTTCCTCGACAAACATCCATTTCAACCAGATCCTCCTGAAGGCACCGCGGTTGAAATCCCCCTCCCCCTTCCTCCTTCTCCTCCTCCTCTTGCTCGCACGGAATGCCCTGAGGGTCATTCCGTGCGAGCGGGCTGGCTGACCCCGATAGCAGTTGGAATTCCAACTTTTGGGTGGGACCCCCTTTAGGGGCCACAATGGAGGTCCCTTCCGCGCGAGCGGGCTCGCATGGAATGCCCCTGAAGGTCATTCCGTGCGAGCGGGCTCGCTGATCCCGATAGCCGCTGGAATTCCAACTCTTAGGTGGGGGGGGGCCCTAGGGGCCACAAGGGAGGTCCCTTCCGCGCGAGCGGGCTCGCATGGAATGCCCCTGAGGGTCATTCCGTTCGATCGGGCTGGCTGGTGCCGATAACCGTTGGAATTCCAACTTTTAAATGGCACCCCCTAGGGGCCACAGGGGAAGTCCCTTCCGCGCGAGCGGGCTCACATGGAAGGCCCTGTCATTCCGTTCGAGCGGGCTCGCTGATTCCGATAGCCGTTGGGATTCCAACTTTTAGGTGGGACCCTCTAGGGGCCACAAGGGGAAGATCCCTTCCGCGCGAGCGGGCTCGCATGGAATGCCCCTGGGGTCATTCCGTTCGAGCGGGCTCGCTGATTCCGATAGCCTTTGGGATTCCAACATGTAAGTGGGACCCCCGAGGGGCCACAGGGGAGGTCCCTTCCGCGCGAGCGGGCTCGCATGGAATGCCCCTGAGGGTCATTCCGTGCGAGCGGGCTCGCTGATCCCGATAGCCGTTGAAATTCAAACTTTTAAATGGGGCCCCCTAGGGGCCACAAGGGAGGCCCCTTCCGCGCGAGCGGGCTCGCATGGAATGCCCGTGAGGGTCATTCTGTTCGAGCGGGCCTCGCGCCGCGCGCCGAACTTCTCGACGCTGCTCCTCCGCCGTACTCGAGGTGGCAATGGTGCCCCCTCCGTGCAGACTGGCATTGAACATTGTCGCGGCGGGGTCCCAGGGCATCGACGGGTCGATGGCGACCGCGAGGGGCGAGAGCCGCAGCGGCTGCCCACTCTCTCAGCACCTCCCGCGGCGCCTCGCGCCTGGGCCCACCGCTAAACTCCATGCGCCGCGAGTAGACCTCCGAAAAAATGCTCAACGCCCCATCGGCAGATCAAGAACCCCCAGGACATGATGTCCACGATCCGCGCGATCACGTCGGGCAACTCCCACTGGCTGGTCAGGATCTCCTGGATGCCTCGGACCGCGAGCCACATCTTGTCCTGGTTCGGGGCCATCCGGGCACCCTCGAAGTAGCCCCCGATCATGCGAGCTTCCGAGGAGCATGCGTCCTTGCGAGCCTTGAAGCCCGCAGCCATCACCAGGTCCTGGCCCCCAGCCAGATCTCCTCCACCGTCGCAACCCCCTTCAGGTCTGGCAGCACAGGGTAGCAGTCCGATGATGCCGAAGTCATCGATGTACTCGCAGTGAGCCGCTGGCACTTCCCGGCTGTGCCGGGGCAGGTGGCCGCCCTCGGCGAGACGCTGGGCCTCCGACGGCGACGGCTGCCCAGCCTGCGGCCCCGCGTTGAAGACGTCGCCCATCGTCGTCTGAGCCATCCAGCACGCCCACGAGAATCCCACGAGAGCAACCTTCACCCCGACGTAGGCGCCACTCCCAGGCAACCGCGAGCCATCGGGCAGGCCCGCGTCCAGCTCGTCCGCCGAAACGCCCGGCAGCGCGAAGTAGGGGGCGATTTCCTTTCAATTCCAGCGTGTAACAGAAATCGGGCAGGTCGCCCGTGCCAATGCGCATGGCCACCCTATCCCCCTTCATCTCCTCCGACATATCCAGGAAGGACATCGCACTCGCGCCGCCCATAGCACGCCACGGTGGAGCCCGCCACCGCGTGTTGGAGCGCCTCTGGTCGAACGCCAGGCGGAGCGTCACTTCCGGCTCCCCGTTGATCAGCTCGGCCTTCTTCGCCACCCAGAACAGCCCGACCTCGTCTGCCTTCTCGGGCGCGCGACGCAGCATACCCGCCGGGGCCGTCCTTCGTGATAGCTGCAGCATCTCCTTCCTCTTCCTGAAGTTAGGATCCGCGTAGTTGCGCACCTCGCACGCCAGCGCGCAGGCGTCGCCATCCTTCTTCAGCATCTCCGCCCAAAACTTCTTCAACTTCAGTGCCGGACGAAGCGGCGCAGACCTCGCGCTCGCAAGTCTGGTCCCCGGGGGAGGTAGGGCGACCCGATCCCACTGGGCGGGTAACGTCTCGCCGCTGTCTTGCAGCCGCGCACCCCCGCCAGCGCCCCTCCTCCGAAGTTCGGCCAACCTCTGCATGGAGGTTGACCGGGACTGACTGCGCGCCGCCGAAATGGCAGGGCGCAGCCGCAGTATCGCGGCCCCTTGACCCGGCGTCGTCGGCTGTGGCTGCTGGCGACGAACCTCCCCATGCACCCGCCGACCGCCGGGAGGTCCCCGCCCAGGTGGCCAAGCTCCCGCGGTAGAGTTGACGCAGCGCCAAGAGAGAGAGCGGCTGGCCCGCCCAAAGGTCTCCACCTACTCCTTCCATCGCGACGAGACCCCGCGACGCGTCGAGCTCGGGCGCTCTGGGCGCGAGAACAGCGCCACCTCGGACAAGACGTCGCGCCACCGAGACATCGGAAACCCAGTTCGTCGCGCGCCGGCTCACGTGGCAACCGACGAAAAAGGTCACTCGTCAGCTGCTGCAGAAAAAATAGAGGCAACAACAGACGCCGGCGCAGCGCTCCATCACCCCGCCAGCTGCAAAGGCCAGCAAACACGAAGCTGAGCGGCCCCGACTAAAGCTCCTTGGTCGTTGCGGCGGGGCCGCCGAACCCCCGCCCAGGTCGACCCGCGCCTGCAGCAGCTGCGCGTCCCGGCCCATGGCCTTCTTCACCTCCTCCTCGGCACTCATCACCCGAGTCGCACTCTTGCCCGCCAGCTGAGGGCCGGCCGCCGAGCCGCCTCCCAGCCCACCTTCGACTTCCAACCCTTGGCGTCCTTGGGGCGGCCCCGCTCGTCGCGGCTCTGCGCGTCGCGGCGCGCTCGCACGATGGCGCGCCCCTTGCGCGCCGGCCGCTCGAAGCTCACCAGATTGAGCACCCCCTTCTGGCGGTCCATCATCAGCATCGTGTCCACCGCCGCGAATGCCGCAATCATCTCCCGAGCCGCGTTGCACTCTGTCAACCCAAGGTCCCGCGCGAAGTCTCGAGCCCACGCCTCCGCCGTCCTCCCTGACGAGTAGATATCCGACATCGCCCCCACGGAGATCCGCTGACGATACCCCTCGGACATCCGGCCATTCCACTCGTCGGCGGGGATCTCTTGAGCCCGTTGCTGCTTGGGGCATGGCGGGCGTCGTGGCCCTCGCCCCCCCCTCCCCCCACGACGTAATGCGCTCCGGGCACTGCTGCCGTGCGTTCTGGGATCCGCGCTGGCGTCCGCGTAGGAATCCGCATAGGAGCCTGGTCCGCAATCGCCGTTGTCGTCGTCGTCGTCGTCGTCGTCGTCGTCGCTCGCGGCTCGTCGCTCATGGTCGTCGCGCGCCCGGGCACGGCTGAAGCTTGCATATTCCAGGCCGATGGCGGCAATCATCTAGGGGGGGTGGAAGGGGGTCGACGTCGTCGCGTTTCGCGCCGGCAGCGTCTGGGAATGCCTAAGAATGACGGAGGATGGGCAGCGCCAGCATGTAGATGGCGATTTGCACCGCAACGCCAGTGCACACCGCAGTGCCTGCGTGCACCGCAGCGCCTGCGTACGCCGCGCCGCCTATGCACGCCGCGGCAGCCGCGCGCGACGCAGCGTCAGTTTGCGCCGCCGTCCCCGCGGGCACAGCAGCTCGCGCACACCGCGGCGCTTGCGTGCGCCACATCAGCCGCGTGCAACACAGCGCCAGTGTACACCGCAATGCCTGCGCGCATTGCAGCGCCCGCGTGCACCGCGGCGCCCTCGTGCACCGCAGCAACCGCGCGCAACGCAACCCCACTGTTGCATATAGAATGTTATAACGAACCCTAATGACAAAATGGAGCGCTTGTGGATTCCACGCATGGACAACGGAGCGCCGCTGGAATCTACGAGCCCTCCCGAGCCAGCCAATCTGCACCCGGGAAGCTCCAACTGAAATTGGCCGTCCGAAAACCGAGTGCGGAGCGGGCTGAGATGCGCGCGCGCGCTGCAGCGCCAACCCGCACGACTGGGGGCAAGGGGGGGGAGGAGGAGGAGGCGGTGGAGGTGGAGGAAGAGGGAGGAGGAAAGGAAATCGCATTCGACTATCCGCACTTTTCTGGCATGGCTTCTCTAGTTGTCTGCAGCAGATCCCCGCGTGCATGCTCCTTATACCTGTCCTACGCACGCAGTCGCAGTGGTGCACCAACGCTGCGTTGCACGCGGATGTCGAAGTGTAGACGCGCGCTGTGGCGTGCACCGGCGCTGCGGTGCACGCGAGCATCGTGGCGTGCGCAGGCGCTGCGTTGCACGTGGTAGCTGCGGTGTGCACATGCACGCCGGCGCTGAAGTGTACGCAGGCACCTCGGTGCACGCAGGCGCTGCGTTGCACGCGGTTGTTGCGGTGCACGCGGGCGCTGTGGTATACGCGCGCGCCGCGGTGCACGAGAGCGCTGCGGTGTACACAGGCGCAGTGGGGCACATCGCCACCTACATGCTGCTCGCGTCGTCGTCGTAGGCGTCCTTTGTCGCTCGTCGCTCGTCGCGTCGCGCGCGCGGGCGCGGTCGCGGTGCCGGAGCCACGCGGCGGGGGGGGCGTTGCGCCGGCCCCCCCCCCTCGCACCCCCCTCGGCGACGCCCGTCATCGCCGAACATAAAGAAACGCGCTCCTTGATAATCATCCAACTGCTCCATGAACGCCTGCTGCGGCAGCTGAACCTTGAACCGCATCCGCTTGCTGGCCAGCTCCGACGCCTCTGGGGTGCTGGGCGCCGCTCTCTTTTCCGGCGTTTCCATCGAGATCGGCCCGGGCGTCTTGGCCAGCGAGCCCACTGTCGCGCCGCCCGACGACGCAGCGCCTGAACCCTCGATAGCAGCTACCCGATCTCCGACACCCCCCTCGGCTGGAGGGCCCCCCCTGCGAGCGGGCCTCGGACGTGTCCAGGCGGGCAATCGTGCGCTCGATCACCTGGCGATTGGCCTCCTCCGCTGCGCGATCCCGCGACTCGACGGGCGACTCTAACACGTCTCGCCGCAACTCCCGGGTCCGCTCCGCCGTTGATCATCTCGCTGATCTCTTCCATCATCAAAATGAGGGGGCCGAACGGTCATTCACTGTCCCTGGGTGCGTGGCTGAAAGGGAACTCCGCGGTGCGGATTCTCGTTGTTGTTTGTTGTTGTTTGTTGTTGTCGTCGTCCCACCCGCAACCCGCCCCGCGACCCACCCGCGATCCAACCCACGACCCACCCCGCGACCCACCCGCGACCCACCCGCGACCCACCCGCGACCCACCCCGCGACCCACCCCGCGACCCACCCCGCGACCCACCCCGCGGCCCACCCCGCGACCCACCGGCGACCCACCGGCGACCCACCCGCGACCCACCCGCGACCCACCCGCGACCCACCCCGCGACCCACCCCGCGACCCACCCGCGACCCACCCGCGACCCAAACCACGTTCAAGGTACAAACCACAATTTTCGGCGCCTGCGGCTGGCTTTTTTGCATTCCTTCCAGGTGGAGAGCCCGCGACCCCCCCCGTGACCAACTCGCGACCAACCCGCGACCCAAACCGCGCTCAGGGTACAGACCACATTTTTCGGCGCCTGCGGCGGGCATCTTTTGCATTCGTTCCAGGTGAAGCGCCCGCGGCCCACCCGCGACCACGTTCAGGGTACAAACAACATTTTTCGGCGCCTGCGGCGGGCATCTTTTGCATTCCTTCCCGGTGGAGAACCCGCGGCCCACCCGCGACCCAAACCACGTTCAGTGTACAAACTAATGTTTTGGGCGCCTGCGGCGGGCTGCTTTTGCATTCCTCCCAGGTGGAGATGGCGAGCCAGCGACCCACCCGCGAACCAAACCACGTTCACTGAACAAACCAATGCCGCACAAATGCGGCGGCGGATTTTCGCATGCCGTCTGAGCCCGCAAAGACCGCGTCAAGTTCCGCGCATCCACACCCGCCCGCCCAGCAACTTTGCCCTGGCGAGTTGCCTTGATCAGAGAAGCCGGGGAGCATAAATTGGAAAAGAAAGGTTTGCGTTGCAGTCATCTCGGGAAAGGAGGGGGAGGCAGGAGGAAAAAACAGGGGACGAGGAGGACGCGGAACAAGAGAGGATGCAAGGATAATGTGGAGAAAGAAAAGGAGGAGGAGGAGCAGGAGGACGAGGAGGGGGAGGAGGGGGAGGAGGAGGACGAGGCGGGGAAGGAGGGGGAGGATGAAGATGATGGACGACAATGGGAGGACGATGATGGAGGCCGATGAGGGGGAGGACGAAATGGGAGGACGATGATGACAGGACGAGGGGGGGAGAGGGAGGACGAGGAAGAAGAGGAGGAGGAGGAGGAGGAGGACGAGGTGGAGGAGGAGGAGGATGACGATGACGATGACGATGACGATGAGGACGAGGAAGAGGAGGAGGAGGAGGAGGGAGGAGGAGGAGGAGGAGGAGGAGGAGGAGGAGGAGGAGGAGGAGGAGGAGGAGAGCGCCATCGACAGGGAAGGTAGGGGCCACGAGGTCCGCTTGCTCGACGACGCCCGCGTCGCCCGCGCCCGCCCCCTCACTCTTATCCGCGACTGCGGGGTGCTACGTCGCCTTCTGGGACTCCGAGAGGTCGCTCAGCTGGGCCGCCAAGGCCGCGTCCACAGCAGAAGGCTGCGAGGGTGACGGCGCGGGCGGCGGCCTGGGCGCAGCGCGACCGACGGCCGCGTCCACGCTCGAGACCGACGTTGGTCTGATCGAGGACTCCCCCGGCCCCGCGCGGTCGGACCACTCGCGCGCAGCCCGGATCAAGGCCAGCCAACGCTGCAAGGGCATCAGCTGCTGAACCCACCCCTTCCACTCGAAGAGGTGGCTTGCCCGCCCGCGCACGACGCCCGAGCTCTCCGCGAAGGCGTCCAGGTAACTCACGAGAGCCGCCCGCGCCTTCTTCATGTGCTCGATCACCCCAAGCAGCGTCAGGGCCTCGTACGACACGAACATAGCGGCCAGCACGCCCAGGAATCGCCTGGGACTCCTCAAAGACCACCTCAAAGTCTTGAGAGAAGACGCCCCCGAGCTGAACCATGCGCACAGCGCGTTCACCGCGATCGCCCGCTGGCCCGCGGGACCCGGACGATAGAGCGGTAGAGTAGGGACCGCCCCCGCACGCACCCCATCCGTCGCCTGCTGGAGGTGCGGGGGATGGGGGGGTGAGAGGACCAGGGCCCGAAAAAAGTCACTGAAATATACAACGCGCAAGGGAGGGGGGAGGAACTGTTGGGACAAACGTCGCACGAACCCGCTCGCCGTCCAGGCAGCTCGGAAAATTCACCTCTCGCGCCCGTCAGCGCCACCTCAAGCGCCCCCCAAGCGAAGCATGATGGATTGCAAGGCCATGGCGTGCGCCACCCCTTGGCGAACGGTGGCGCGGCACCCCTGCGTCGCTCCCTCGCGCTGCATTCGGCTAGCGGCTAGCCGCCACCCCAAGCTCATCAATAGTGGCCGTGATCGTCGTGCCCTCCAGCTGCCAACCGCGGATCTCCATCAAGACAACTATGCACTCACGGCTTCGCTCCGCCTGCCCTGGATCCCTACCAGGAGGCGCCGGCATGCTCTCGAACGCGATGAAACCCCCATCCTGCTTCAGGCCACCGCGAGACAAACCTCCCTCCTGAGCGCCGACGTCCACGGCGTGAGAATCCTTGGGGGCCTCGTCCTGCTCGGCGCTGCCTGTCCCCGCCGAGCCGCCGACTCGATCGGCGTTGGTGTCGCCATCCCAAAAGGGGAGGTCCGAGGGGGGAAAGTTCATGGTGCCGACCGCGCACTCCGTGCCGGGGTTGACGACGCTCTCACCCTCCTTCTGGTTGCTCTCGATGCCGTGGCCTGCGAGGATCACCTGCACCACGTGTCCGTCGATGGTTCTGTTCTTGGCGTCCACTCCTGCTTCGCGTCGAAGTCCTGCGGCACGACGCTTGCCTCGGGACAGGGAGCCGGGCCAACACCTCAATCTCCGACTCCTCGCCAACGATGTCGCGGGAGGAGGAGGGAAGGCGCAGGCCCTACCTGCGGCGCGCCTGGCCTCCTGGAGCTCGACGGCCAGGAGGGCGAGCGCATCCCGATCGACACGGAGTTCGTCCAGAAGGACGAGCTGGTCGAAGTCCACCTCAAAGCGCGTCTCGCCGCACTCTCCAGGTGCATCGGCCTCGGATGCGATGTCGAAAACGACGGCGCTGCCGAAGCAGGTCGAGGGACCCGAAGCTGCCGAAGTCTCGGCCGGAGGGAGAGCACCAGGAGCACCGCTAGGAAGAGCTGCCCTGCCAGACAGCTCGTCCGCCCTCAGGTCCATGACATTGTCCTTGAGGTCCAACAATATGGAAGCAAGGGAGCCTGCACCACAATCGCCGCCCCGGATGCTGTCCCCGCCGTCCTCAGTGCTGAAACTGTCGATGGAGCGGCTGCCAACGCAGCTGGAGCCAAGAGCACCGCCAAGAAGAACTGCCCTGTCAGACAGCACGTCGGCCCGCAGCTCCATGACGATGTCCGTGATGTCCATCAGCACGGAGGCAATGGAACCCGCACCAGAAACCACGCCCTTGACGCCCTCCCCGCCTTCCTCGGTGCTGGAACTGTCGACGTGGCTACCGCCAACGTAGCTGGAGCCCATCTCCGCGTCCTCGTACTCGTCGTCGGACTCGTCGGCCCCCTCCACGTCGGCCACGCTCTCGGCCTCATCAATCGAGCGCGCAACATCCTCTGCGCGCCTGGCCGCCACCGCACGTGCCGCCTCTGCCTTGCGCAAGGCCATCGCCACGCGCTCGGCCTCCTGCCTGACCGCGCATCGGTTGCTACCGCGCGCCCGGCCTCCGCCTCGCGCGTGGCCATGGCAGCAGCAGCCGAAGAAGCGGCCAGCGACGCCGCTACGGCGGCCGCGAGAGCCACCGAGAGGGCGCCCGCCGCTTGGGACTGCGCAGCAGCCGCCGCCAGGGCAGCCGCCAGAGCAGCCTCAGCGAGGCCGTCGGCGGCCTGGTCGGCAGCCGTAGCAGCAGCTGCAGCCGCACCGTATCCAGCCGCGGTGCCCGCGGCAGCAGCGCGGGCGAACTCCGCCGTCCGGCGGCGCTGGCCGCGGCGTTGGGCCGCGCGCGAGGGGCGGCCCCCGCCGAGGCCAGGCGGCAGCTCCACGGCGGCCCAGGAGCACCCAGCCAGAGCGGACTCGGCGGAGCCGTCCGCGGCGCCCACGGCCCCCGCCTCGAAGGCGGCACTGGCGGGCTCCATGACACGATCACGAGGGAGGGCTTGGAAGGAGGGACCAGGGGGTTGAAGGGAAAGGCCGAGCCACTTGAGCCATCTGTGATCACCATCATCATCAGCATCAGCATCAGCATCAGCATCAGCATCAGCATCAGCATAATCATCATCATCATCATCATCATCATCATCATCATCATCATCATCATCATCATCATCATCATCATCATCATCATCATCATCATCATCATCATCATCATCATCATGATTATCAGCAGCAGCATCAGCATCAGCATCAGCATCAGCATCAGCATCAGCAGCATCAGCATCAGCATCAGCATCAGCATCAGCATCATCATCATCATCATCATCATCATCATCAGGCGTTACACAAAGCAACACACACCAGCAACGTCTGCTGTGTGTGCTGTGACTCTTGTTGCTGGCGTGTGATATGCCATTTGTGTTGCTGATGTGTGCTGCGTGACTGCTCCCAACCATCCTGTGATGTGGGTATCTCGATTTGAAAAGGCAACACCCCGCGTCCTCTCCTCTCCTCCTCCACCTCCCCATCTTATCGCCTCCTTGCCTGTGCTCTTCGCACATCACGACCACGATGGACAGTCGTAGGATAACAATACATGCAAACGTCATTTGAAGCGTGGGGGTCACCAATTTCATGGTTTCGACGACTTCGGGCCCAGAGGGGGCTCAGACTAGCGCGTCCCGCCCTATTGCGGGCTTTACCATCGTCTCCTCCCGCTGGGTCCCATCCCCTCCTCTTTTCATTCCCTGCGCTCGACCCCATCAAAGACACGAGAGCGAAAAGATCGGGACCTGCGCCTCCTACCTCGACAAGGAGAGGAAAGAGGCGGGCGTACCATCTGCGCCCCTCCTCCCTCTCTTCCCCCTCCCCCACGCCGACGACGAAGAGAGAACCCCCTGGAACCCCGTACAACCCTTTAAATTGTTAGCGCACTTGGAAATCCCCATCCTCCCTTCCCCAGCGCGCACATGGGAGTGGCCTCCTTCGAGGGCACAAGGCGTCGCAGAAGCCCTCCTGCATTCGTGGGAGCCTGCGGTCCCTTCTGGTAAGGGCCCGCTTTTTCAGATCCCCCCCTCTCGTCAACGCGTCCCCCCCTCCCTCCTCCTCTCTTCCACGGTGAAGACGAGGGGATGAACCCGAGCCACGTCGGCGGCGGGGCTTCCCCAAAACTACAACTCGATGCTTTTGAATCGCCATTTCCTGTGCCGTCGACGCGGCGGGCGGGGAAGTCATCGTCGCCGTCCTTAGCCCCCTCCCCCCAAACCAGCGTTCGCCCACGGGCCGTCTTGCAGCTAACGGCCCCCAGGTGGCTTGAAAGCGCCCTCCCCCCAACGCTGAAAGCTGGAGAACACCTCCAGCACGATTCACGTCGAGTCCCCGAACTGTCTTGACTTTTGAACCGTTTCTTGACGAGAGCATGAACACACATAATAACCTCCATGATACGTGTTCCTTCATGCTGAAGGCTCTTAGGCGGGGGGCGGCGGCGGGGCGCGCGGGAAGCGTCCTTGCCAGTAGCCGCGCTGCCCTTCTGGCCCATGGCTCGCTCACGGGGCCCAGGGCCCCGCGGCGGGGATCGGCATGGGGGGCCGAGAGCCCCCTGCACCTCCTCCTCCTCCTCCTCTTCCTCCTCTTCCTCTTCCAACTCCTCCTTCTCCTCCTTCTCCTCCTCCCCGTGGGTTGTGCGGCCGGAGAATCGAAACCGAGGAAGAGGGAGAAGGAGAGGGAAGACACCAGAGTGAAGAACAGAGCAGGGGCAACATCATACTCAAAGACGCAAGCATGCGCAGACCCCCACGGGAGGAGGAGGAGAACGGGGGGGAGGAGGGTGAAGGATGGATGGAATATGGCGGGGAAAATGGGAGGATATGCTATTGGATTGCGGACCTGATTAATCGTAGCCACGGTTGTCAGATAATAAAACAACCAGCTTTCTGGCCAAACAATCATACTTGCACGACCACTCTTCGGACGAGAAGGAGGCCTGGCGGAGGAACCAAAGTCTCCCGTAATCGATCTCACTATCCCTTTCACTGTCGGTCTCACTACCCTTCTCGTATCGATTTCACTATCGATATCAATTTCGATCTCACTATCGCTGCCACTGTAGATCGCATTGTCGATATCATTATCAATGCCACTATCGATCTCACGACCACTCTCTCTATAGATAGCACTATCCATCTCACTATCGATCTTACAATCGATCTCACTATCCATCTCGCCATCAATCTCGCGATCGATCTCACGATACGTCTCACTATCAATATCACGATCGGTCTCACTATCGATCTCACGATCGATCTCACTATCCCTCTCACTATCGACCTCACTCGACCTCACTATCGATCTCACTATCGATCTCACTGTCGATCTCACTATCCTTCTCGTATCGATCTCACTATCGATATCAATTTCGATCTCAATATCCCTGCCACTATAGATCGCATTATCGATATCATTATCAATGCCACTATCGATCTCACGATCGCTCTCTCTACAGATAGCACTATCCATCTCACTATCGATTTTACAATCGATCTCACTATCCATCTCACCATCAATCTCGCGATCGATATCACGATAGGTCTCACTATCAATATCACGATCGGTCTCACTATCGAACTCACGATCGATCTCACAAGCGATCTCACTATCCATCTCACTATCGACCTCACTCGACCTCACTATCGATATCACTATCGATCTCACTGTCGATCTCACTATCCTTCCCGCATCGACCTCACTCGATCAATCTTACTATCGATCTTACTATCGATCTCGCTATCGATCTTACTATCGATCTTCCTCTCGATCTCACTGCGGCACGCCTACGGGGCACCGACAGGACACGGGCTGGACATCAGCGAGACACTCGGGGCTACCGCCTGACAACCCCGAAGGCGTCCTAGCCAGAGGAGGGTTCATTCCTCTCGCCCGCCCACGCAGCTTCGCCTCGCCCGCACGCACGACCCGAATACGACGCCGAAACCGATTTTCTGGTGTGGGGGCTCCCCGTTTCACTGCGATCACACCCAGTCACCTCTGATTCTGCATAATGTTCGCACGCGTAGACAGGCGACAAGGACAAGAAGGCGGACAGTGCAGCACCTACGCCAATTAGTTAGCGAAGGGAAGGAGGAATGTTTTGACAAAACCAGCGGAAACAGCGACCCTCGTATGTCGTTGTACTCCTGATTGTCTGACTGGGGCGTCTGGCCATAAGTGCGGGACGGAGCGGGAGGGAACATCTTGCAGGACAATCAAATTGAGGGCTAAAAACAATCCCCACTCCCAATACGCTTCATGCGAATCATGGCTGGGACCGATCCCAGGCTGCGCACAAAGTCCCAAACAGCAAGAGGACAAGAAGGACGGAGCAGAGAGGACGAGGCGAGCCGAGGGCAGGATCAGGAAGCTCTGCCTTGCAGGCGGAATCCGAACGCAGCGGCTTCCTGGAGAGAGCATGGGACTCAACTCAGGCAGCCATGCATACGTTCACCTGAGATTGAATACTGCCAACGCTCGAAACACATTGAACCGACGCAGCCCGCGGCCATTTGTACCGGCGCAACCCGTGGCCGTTTATTGCTGGCGCAACCAGTGGCCATTTGGACCGGAACAACCTTATTGTGATCGAGTTTGGTCGAAAAGAACGGCACAGATTTCCGTCTCGGTTCCAATGAACCACTTCGAGCAAACGCTGTGCGCATTCGGCGGCCGCTTTAGCGGCCCTGCGCTCACGGACCCGCGCTCGGTTGCGTACAATACCCACACGGACCTCATCAGCCAAGGAAACTGGCAAGGGGGGAGAAGAGAGGGAAGGAAACCAGCGGCCGCAATTGTTGTCGTGGGCACCCGTAGGAACTAAAAGCTCCCATTGCACGTGCTGCGTCCAACACTCACTCCTTACTACGCCCATCGGCTTTTTTGAGCTCGGCCGTCGCGAGACGTGCGCCAGCGCGGCCGCTGCGCGGTGAGTCTCAGGTGGCGCACGGTGGCACGTGGGGGGGCGGGCTGAGTGAGAACGGCGCAGGCAAATCTGATGAGAACCCCTGAATGGGTCATTCTCTCGCGGCCCCAGGGGGTCAAGTGAGGAAACCAACATGCTCAAACCTGGGCTCCGCCTCCAGTCTAGAGGATCGCAGACATCCAGCGTCGTACAAGCAAAATGGCGTCCTGAGTACTAATCGATCCAGCGAATAATGGAAAATCTTCTCTCTATGCTGGATTGTTCAAGCTTCATCGATCCATGGGGGGATGACAACGGCCGCCGATAACCGCCATGATCTCTCTTCACGACGCCCGATGTCGAAAGGGGCCGAATCTCAACTTGTTCTGAACCAACAACCATATGTAACTCTGGATCCCTTCCCCAAGACCAGGATTCATATTCCGACCCGTTCGCTGATTTCCGGGAAAGGGCACCAATGGCACCTGAAATTACAAAAGACCTATGGTACCCTGGAGCTCTGCGGTGCGTTCGTCTAGCTCGCGCCGTCCTCCCACGACGCTCCCCCCAGAGGGACACTAAGTGCGCCATCGCCGAGAGCCCACGGTCACAGAGTTCGGGAGGCAGACGAGGAGCAAGAAGACGACCGAAACAAGCGATGACGACGCTGACGACGACGTTGCCAACGACGAAGCCGACGAAGAGGATATGGGCGACGCCGTCATGGACAATTGGCGGCACAACACATCCTGACAGCGTATGCCGTCGGATGGGCTCTTCTGGGTCTATCAGTGAATTTGCTGCGAGTCCGAGGCCCCTGTCCATTCCCCCTTATCTTCCTCCCTCCTTCTCATCGCCCCTCCACTTCCTCCACCTCGCCGTCCTTCCCTCGTCCCTTCATTCTGTGAGGTGGACTCTTTTCAGGTGCTCTTCTGATACCAGCCCCTCCGACTGCCCTTCCTGAGAGAGGGCGACGGTTCAAATAGCGACCGAGTCAAGGCAGTCAAGGCGCAGGCGCGCCAAGCTCTTCCTCCGAAGATTGCGAAGCATAAGACATCATGCGCCCATCCAAACGAAGGACCAACAATTTTGATGCCCGCGCCCGCTCCCTCCCCCTGCCTCTCCTCCTGAGAAGCAAACGAACGAAGGGAATGTAATGATAACGGCGACGAGCGGTTGCAGGGCGAAGAGGGCAAGGGGGAGAAGGGCCTCAGCGGAGGAGGAGGAGGAGGAGGAGGAGGAGGAGGAGCAGGAGGAGGAGGAGGAGGAGGAGGAGGAGGGTCACGAAACTGAGGAATAGGATGTGAAGTATGATTCCCACCAGCCCTTTAGGGCGTGAGTGGTTTAAAGGATTTCTGTTCCAACCCCCTTTTCTCCCCCCTTTTTGTACGGATTTACTACTTCGCCTATTAATAAGCACCCTTCCCCCCAGGCGACTGACAACCAACCAGGACCAATGACAACACCCCCCCACACAACGCCTGTCAAACCAGCAACGCAACATCAGCCGACCCTGTCGGAGTGTGTGAGAGGCTTGCCTGTTCGAGTCGTCGTTTCCGTCGCCCCCTTTCCCTGCGCCCGCCTTCTCATGTTTGTCAGCGGAAGAAAAATTTAACAATGTCGTAATCGAGTCGAACGGAAACCCATCTTTGATCCCGGGGAGGGTGTCCGGGGGGGGGGTCAGATACCCATCCCCTTTTGGGGGTCCCGCTTCAGAAAGTACCGAAACGGTCCATGAGGGTCCCCAATCGCCAAATGACAAATCAAAAACGCTCTCACGCCCTCCATGCTGCCCAAGTTTGAAGGAAACCCCGGAGGCCCGACCAGAAGCTTCGCCTTCGGCGAAACGCAGCTCCAGCTCTGTTGTACCGTAACAACGATAGTCCCAGTCGGAGGAGGTCGTCGCGGGAGCGACGGGCCCTCTCAACCGAAAGGTGTTTTCAGTCTCGATGGCAAATAGCATGCCTCGCAATGAAACGCAGTCACGTGTTGGCGGCCAGCCGCTTGAGCCCAAGCGGCCACGGACAAACGCTCGCTATCTCTCGCCCTTGTCCCAGCTCACTTTAGAGTCGGGGTGTAGGGTGGCGAAGCGTGAACCCGCCGCCCCTATATAGCAAACACTATCTATACGGAACGCAGCAACAGGCGGGTTCGTAAAGAAGGTGAACCCGCAAACCAGTGCCCTTGCGCGCAAGTTGCGTTGCGAGCACATCACTGTGCAAGCGATTGCTCCTCAGGCGGCCTCTGACGATGTTGTATGGCCGGTCTGGTAAGGAGCATGACGTTTCAAATCATGATTGAAGAACTGCGTTCCTCCCATGACATGTAGGAACATGTCTAAATTGTTATTGGCATCAACGTGTTTGCAATCGATTGTTTTTTCGTTGTTGGCATTTTCTTCCCAATCCTGGCAGCTTTATCACATGAGATACTTATTTCTATGTTATTGTCGTGTCCTGCCAGGATTATCTCTTGCAAAAAACTGATTTCATCTGCTACATCCTGAGGATATGCGGAGAATACCTTCTTTCTATTATCGCGTTTAAACACGATGAAAGGATTCAGGTTTGCCGCATACCGAAGCAGAGAAAGCATTTCCAAGAACAAAAACACCTTTTTTTTTCAAAGCTTTAAGTTTAATTCATCAGCCAAGCAAAGAAAAGC